CTTCCTTTTGGCTGCATTTCTGGCCTACCATTTGCAGGTCAGTATATAGGTTACTCTTTGTCTTTGAGGTTGTTCAACTTACTTGCTCTATTATAGAGGAGCCTGCCTTCTCTCCCGCCCATTTTTGTTAGCCACACAAAATGGGCTCCCTTTTTTTCATCAACTACTTGCAGATGTTTGGTTGGATAAGTCAAAAGTAAAAATATATAGGTACAAATGGAATATATAATCAAATCCAAGCGAATAACCAAAATTTCTGTGTTATGTGCCGCGGTTATAATATGGTTCAAAATGACACACGGGTTGATGACGTCATTTACACGAATCGCTTGAACGCGTTGGTTTTACCCGCGGTTTTGTTGCAAGTTGTTTATTTTAGAAAAGCGCGTATATAATCTCTGATTATTTTTATTATCACTTAATAATCGGTGCTTTTTCGTCTACAACTGTATAGGGAAAGTTTAAATAAGAAACCTTTCATAATATTCATGGAAGAAATGTTTTTTCAGAATTTTTTTTTAATGATGGAACCATGGCTTTGTAGCTATGATAACTTTCAATTCTCTAAATTTTTCCGCTTGTCAAAGAAAACATTTATTGATTCAGCAGAAATGATGAAAAAAGAAATTAGCAAAACCGTATACAGGTGGATATCATCTAGTGAGTTTATATGGCCATATTTTAATATTCTTGTGGTATATGGCTACACAGGATACTTTGTTAAGCACAGGAACTACATTTAAAGTGTCCCCAACAACCGTAATGAGTATAACTAATAAGGTGCTCCACTTTATGGTAAAACTGAAGTCAGCCTGTATCATTTTTCTCAAAAATGAAGCTGAAGTACAATAACAATATCCAATACCCGGCAAAATTCTAACTTGTCACATTTCAAATAATAACCAGAAATATAAAACTACTCTTGAGTTGGGTAAATACCACAATTTTGCGGTGATAACTATGACATATAACAGCTGATTCGTGACGTGACGGATCTTATAACCAAACTGATAACTACACTCGCTTGAACGAATTGGTAAATACCAACCCAAAATGGTAAATACCATTTCCATTTGGTTATCCGCTTGAATTTGATTACTGTATTTTATAATACACAAGTGACACAATCTGTGACTGACACTTTTTTGCTGAATATCCGTCAAATGATCCACTGTTTTCCCCTTAGTCGATTGTTAAACATATTCGATAGTACAATGAAAGAATGTAATGGGAATTTGGAAGAAGCGGTTGGAAGTTGGTTGTACGAATGAAAGGACGCCTACCGAAATTTCAGACCTTTCCATTTTTGTGGTTAAAAGTAGAGATGGGCTAAGTAGTTCCTTTTAGTGATTCGATTCCATGGTTGCGATTCCGGTTTTGGAATGAATTCTTACGATTCGTGGAAAATTTCTCCATACCGTTAATAAGCGCTATATGGGGAACTTTAAAGGACAAGGGCAGCAAAAAATTTCTTGAATATGGCAGGATACGCCGACTCAATTCGAAAATATGCCACATTAGCATGGGCGTGCGATGTGTTTCTTCCTTTTCGGTTCCCGATTGTATAAGGGAACTACACCTAGATCGCATCTCAAAATATTCTCATTCGGATTTTCTTGCATAATATTATTCAAAGAAATTTTTTAACAATTAATGAAAACAAATTCCATGTTTGGGGTACCTTTTCCTTAAGTTGTTAGTTTAGAGATATAAGCGATATAATATTTGTAATAAATTCTGCAGCTGTATCTCTCGTGCTCACACAGATTAGACATTAGTGACGCACTATATTAAGCTTGATCAAGCCGTGACATATAACAGAAAGCAGAGCAATAAGCCTGTAGTTGTAAGGGTGGGTCTAAGGGCCGTATCGTTAGTCGTTCCTACAATTATTTGTCTAAAAGGATGCAAGTTACAAAAGTTAATGTCACGATTTCATAAAAATTGAAAATACGTTGGGTGTTCCACAGAGCAGTATCGTGGGAACACTTCTTTTTATTTTATACATAAATGATTTACCTGCCATAGTCAAAAAATGCAAAATTCAGATCTTCGCCGATGACATCATGATTTATATAGTACTAAAAATATTCAGTCTGGTATCTCTTATATAAATGAATACTTGAAACTCGTCTCAAAATGGTTAGCATCTAACAGACTTGAATTAAACACAAGTAAAACGAAAGCTATGTTATTCGGAAAAAACAATCTGCAAATGTTCAACTGAATATTGTTGGCGAAGATATTGAATTCATATAAAATTTTAAATACCTGGGGATTTTTTTTGACTCTCGATAAATTTTTGATATTCATTTCTGGATGTCTCTTATCCATAATACCATCATTCTTCCAAATGTCGTGTACTGTTCGACTATTCTATATTTAGCAAATAATTCCATTTTTGAAAGACTGCAAATTTTACGAAACAAGTGCATGAGAATAATACTGAATAAAGATAAATATACTCCAATTAAACAAATGCTTAGCAAATTAAAATGGCTCAATGTAAAAAGTTTTATCAAATATCTTGTATGATGTAAATGATATTCATTTATAAAGTAAAAAAATAATATATTTCCATCAAGTCTAACTAATTTAACATCATCAAATGCCGACCATCATTTACATAATACCAGAAATAAAGATGATTTCCATTTAATGACCAAAAAGTATATCATACGCCACAAATCAGCATTCCATCAAGGGTTGATTGAATATAATAAATTATACACAGAGATAAAAAACCAGAAAACTTTGACAAAATTTAAAGTAAAATTGAGGAATCACTTATTAAATCTACAATTATGGCTTGCCCAACATTTATATCACTCATCATATGGCTTGAATTTACTAATTCAAAGTATACTAAGTGACATATAAATCCGAACACCCAGTTTAAATGGTTTTATTTTAATAAAATTTTGTATAAATACTTAATGAAGCATAATAAGTAAATGATAAAAATTTCAAAATGATTGCACTGCTTTAAAGCCCTTTGACCTTTAATAATGTGTGGATGCACCCTGATGTGCTACGCATTCTTCAACGCGCCTAGGCATGCTTCTGATCAGGTGGTCAATGTCCTCCTGTGGTATCTCATTCCAGGCAACCACCAACTCCTCTCGAAGTGCTTCTAGAGTCTGAGGAGGACGTTGCAAATTGAGCAATCTCCTACCCATCATATCCCACACGTGCTCAATTGGGGATAAGTCGGGAGATCTTGGTGGCCGTGGTAACAATGTGGCATCATTATGTTGAAAGAAGTCTATTGTGACTCTTGCAACATGTGGTCGGGCATTATCTTGTTGGGAAGTTGGATCTGCCAGGGTGTCAAGATAGGGTAAAAGATGGGGCTCTAGAACTTCGTGGATATAACGCTGCGTGTTCATGTTACCTCTGATGAAGATTAAAGGAGACCTGGAACCATAAGCTGTAGCACCCCAAACCATAACTCCAACAGTGTGATGAACATGTCTTTCAACAAAAAACTTTGGATTCCTCCTTTCACCACGTCGCCTTCTAACCCTGGCACGACCATCGTGCATGCCTAAACAAAATCGAGACTCGTCACTAAAGACAATACTGTTCCAGTCCTCATCCCAGAGTGACCGTTGTCTGCACCACTCAAGGCGATTACGTCGGTGTTCTCGAGTTAAAGGGAGGACCCAATGTGGCCGGTACGAAAACAAGCCAAAACTTCTCTCTCAATAGGTCTTCCGTGTTCTGCAAACCATTCATTTGCAATGGACCAGGTAGTGGAGAAACGGTCCCTTAAGGCCAATAATCTTAGGCGGCGATCTTCACGGTCTGTTGTTCTACGGCGGCGTCCAGTGCCCCTTGCTCTTTGCGTACGGCCTTCTCGAAGCCATGCCTGACAACACCTAACCACAGTGTTTACACTTCTTTGCACTCTAACTGCAATTGCCCGAAAAGAAAGTCCAGCTTCCCGAAGTTCCACTATACGGCCACTATCAAACTCACTAAGTTGACGAAATCGTACAGGTCTCCGTACTCTGGGCATCGTAACCGATCGTAAAGGATGTCAAGGACCAAAATCCGCCAACGTTGATTCTTGGCTGAAATATTCATTTTTAGAGCGTTAGTGAATTAAAAAGAAGCAGTATAAAAACCGGAATGTCCAACTCATAAGGCTGAAAATTTTTTCACTCGTTACTTACAGTAAGATAAATGCATTCACCAACTTTTATTAAAATAAAATCATTTAAACTGGGTGTTCGGATTTATATGTCACTTAGTATAGTTTATAATTATTCTGTTTATGTAGCCAAATGTGCTAAATAAATCTTTCTACTACTACTAATTGTAGGACGCCTTTATGGCCTCCTTGATTATCATAGTATTTTCCCTCCTCCAGAAAGGCTGGGGAATTTCTAGATTTATACTGCTCCGTGTTAGCGTCAGCGCTCCCCTATTGTGAGGCTATGTTATCTTCTTGAATTGTTGGAAATTCCAGGCTGATATAACAGATGATATAAATCAAATGCATGAACAATTTGATGCATATAGTTATTTGTAACATAACCTCAAAATAGAACGCTGACACGAAACAGTAGAAAACTATAAAGCTATATAAGCGTCCTACAATTGTAAGAAAGACTGACGATACGACCCTTAGATACTTTTTTTGGTACAAGTTGGGCATGAGCAATTTTACAGACCTGTGGAAATTGCTGAATTCGTAAGATATCTGGAAGAGATGCAGAAGAACTGAGAAGCTCCGCTGGACATCTATTCGGTACAACGGCAGGAATCAAGTCCGGACCAGAAGCTTTTTTGATGTCGAGCGGCAAAGGCACCCGACTTACGGTCTTATGTCTGAATGTTCGGAATCGGACCATCGGAATCAATTCGGTCTGCAGTATCGTTCCTTTGAAACATTTCGTTCACTAAAGACTCTAGTTAAGAATATAAGTATTTTCAGTAAATAAAGATTTAAATCTTCTTAACTTTGGTGAAAGGTGATTGTTGTCTGTTTTTAGGACGATATGGTCTCTGCAAAGATAGAGCTGAAAGGCACAAAGGAGCTATTGGAGGTAAGCCGCTTCCATATAGTGCAGCAGCTCAGTATCGGAGAACGGGTGGTAGCGGAGGCACGGGAGGGATAATTGTTGAAGGAAATTGTGCGAAAAAGGCTACAGGTAAGCTTTACGAAGACATTTGGGGAGAGTCACTCATCAAAGGTCAAAGACAAGTCACAAGATTTCAACATTCCAACCACTTTTCAACTCACTTGTCAACCATGGACAAAGCCACTCCAGTGTATTTTGCTTTACTTCGTTAAATCAGCAGTAGGTAGTTAAAACTTACTCGCACGGGTATTACGTATCTTGAGAAGTGACATTATGCCGATTTTTTTTTAACAGTGTGCTGTTTTTTTTTTGACATTATGTAGGTTTTCCTACAAGATGTTAACTTAGCACTTAGTTGTACGTGTTGCCTCATGAGGCTTGTTATCAATCTTTGGCTCTGATGTGATGTAAAATCTGCTTCTGAGATGGCATTACTAGAGGTGTAAGCTCTAAGTTGTTTGTGTTGATGATAATTACTTTGGGTTCTTTTCTCAAATACACTTAATTGAGATTCAAAGATAGAAATTAATTACGCATCCACTTTTTCTTATCCATTCTGGAAATTACATATACAAATTTGCTGAATTTAAAAATGAGAGAGATAAGAAATAATTACAGCAGACGTTCGATAACGTAAACACGGGATAATGAAAACTTGGGCTAATGTAAACACAAACTTCGTGCTATAGGATCAAACGGAACGCGCGATTACGTAAACAATGTACGCTCGATAACGTAAACAACTCTCGGCACACGGAAACAGCGCGACGGTAGAATGCTGAAGCCTCGATGATTTATGTCGGGCGTCGGGGAGTCCCCGATTTATGATGTAGAGTGTAGGGGATTCACCTCTGCGATAAAATACTACAAACTCGGTCAGTCGTATGATCGTTTAGGATACTTTTATACGTAAGTATGTATTTCATTTTTGAACTTAAGTGAACATTGCACGCGTTAATATATTTTACGACTATGGCATCTACATCCTATAAAAGAAAGTGTTTAAAGTTGAGTGAGAAAGTGAAAATCATAGACGAATTTGCACTACTTGCGGGAGTGACACAGTTAGCAAAAAAATATGGAGTATCGAAAGCAACAATCTGTAAAATTAAGCGTATGAAAACTCAAATTTTACAAAGAACGTGCAATACATTTGGAGGTCCGTGAAAAAGAAAAACTTTAAAAAATGCGAAGGCAGCTAAAATGGAAAATTCCCTGTATAAGTGGTTTTTAAAACAACGGAAAAATCATGTCCCAGTTAGTGGCGAAGTACTTAAACAGAGAGAACTGAAAAACTGAAAGAAACTGAAAATTTCATAGCTAGCGATGTCTGGCTACAACGATTCAAAACAAGATATGGAATTCGACTGCTGTCTATATCTGGTGAAAAATTATCAGCACAACCACAATTAGTGCAACCATTCAAAGAAAAATTGATGAAAACAATTACCAAGCTAGATCTAAGAATGGAACAACAGATGAAAGTGGCCTTTATTGGAAAATGTTACCAGAGAAAACCTATGCTGCATCATTTGAAAAATCTGCCCCGGGAAAAAAGCCGGTGAAACAACGAATAATGGTAATAGTTCACACAAAATAAAGCCACTGGTAATTGGGAAAGCAAAAAATCCGCGCTCATTTAAAAATGTTAATATCCCTGTTGATTATGACTGTTCAAAAACAGCTTGGATGACTAGCAGTATATTGCTGAAATGGTTAAACAGGTGCTTTGTCCATCAGGTATGACAATCAATTATCACAAATGCTCTATTCATAATTTGAAGATGTGTTTTCAATTTGTAGGTAAAAGGTTTCCTAAAACAACAGAAGCTTCCAATAAAAGCGTTGTTACTATTGGATAATGCACCAAGTCATCCTCCCGAGCAACAACTGAGGAGCAGGGATGGTTCAATTTTCGTCATGTACATGCCGCCCAACGTAACACCGTTAATTTAGCCGATGGACCAGAATATAATAAGACTCACCAAACTATACTATAGGAAGTTTCTACTTTCGTCTGTCTTATCAAAGAATCCTGAAAACTTATCTGAGGCTTTAAAAAAAGTAACATTACGAGAAGCTGTTTCAGATTTACATATGGCCTGGAATGAACTTAACCAGCAAACTATTCAAAAATGTTGGAACAATCTCTTTTGTACCAATAATGAAGATGATGAAGAAGACGATGTCCCCTTAAGCGTAATTAGAGAACGTTTGCGATCCAATAATGATAATGTTATTAGTGTGTCATTGGATGTTGTTGATTTATTGAAAACAGTGAATCCCAACATTGTTTGAACTCCTGCTGATATTAATTTATGGAACGAAGATAAGCAGACGAATGATGCTGATAAGGAGGAGGATATGGACAGTGAGGATGATGAGAACGATCCCATTGAAGTCAGAAGTGTAGTGACTGACGCGCAAGCTATACAAGTTTTTAACCAAGCTTTAGATTGGGCTGAAAGAAAAGAAGTTTCATACACGGATATTTTAGTTCTTCGTAAATTACGGGCGCAGGCATTGGAAGACAATGCTAAGCGCACATTTACGCAGACAAAAATTGTTAATTATTTTTCTTCTAATTAAAAAAATACTTATCGTTTTTAGAATATTTGTTTATTTTGTTATAAATAGTATGTATTAAACGTTTCTTTTAATAAATCAAATAATATATAAATCACGTTCGCTAATGTAAACATTTCGATAATGTGAACCACACTTGGATTAAATTAGTTTACATTATCGAGCGTCTGCTGTATATTCACTGTACACTGTCGAATTGCAAGTCATATACATGCTAACTGTAATTACACACAATGTGGGCGCGGTGATGTCCCGTAATTCTCCTCAGTTTTTCGTAATTTATAATTTTGAACATAACCTCTCTTCAGAAAGCACAACATAAAAAACCCATCGGGCACAGCCAATAGATATACTTCATTGGCAGCATATTCAGCAATTATTTTCTCACACAGCAAATATCACTGATTTTATTCACATGCAGACCAATCCATATAATCATTTAGATGCGATCTTGCCATTCAACCAACTTTATTCTCAGAGATAAAAACTACATACAAGGATCATTTGACCTCACGAAACATGCAACCAATAATGCATGTAGTTTAGTTGAATGATTCCTCCTTAGATGGACGTTCACAACGATCTTAGTGGGCAAACGTGGACTGTTTGCACTCTAAAAACTACCTAGTTTGCAAGATGACATCTTATCGGTTGTTTTTTGACGTTTTATAGGTTTTTTACATGATACCCATGCGGATCGAATTGTAATCTACGAATCGGCATCACTTTCGTTTATGACAAGATATTTGAGGTTGGAGAATCAGCGCATTATTCTGCATTCTTCAACGAGCTAAGCACTTTTTCTTTTCGGGACGCAATGACAACGTCAGCGCGACTAGCATCATATATGTTATTAGACCCCTGCCTGTCCACGCAGCTTGTTGCCGACTTTGCATGTCAGCCCACAGCAACTTCACTGTTTGTTAGTTAGATAGTTGAGGGAAGCACTAAATGTCAGATAGATAACTAATTAAGAGGACACTTAGGACGATGGAAAAGTTTGATGAAGTTCAAGACTATCACTTCCAGAAGTGTGAACAGAGATACTTATTATTCGGTATCTTCTTGCAGGGTCGTTCATTTTAGATAAACTCATTTATTTTTCCTAATGCTCATCAGAAATTGCAGTATTATTTTTGGAGGGTGTTTCAAGCATTTATAGACACAAAGTAGAGAAGCACATTTGAATCGATTATTTCAAGAACCTTTAAGAGATTCATATGTCGAATGATCTTCACAGATTATTAATGGTAATCATAATGGCAAAAGCCCGAAAAACCGTTCTGTACTTTGTCATTTTAGCAAAGAATATAGGTAATATGTTTTGTAGACGGTATACGGTCCCTGGCTGTTAAACGTGGAGGTACCACCCAGCGGATTTCTAAGGCGGGGCCAGAATGTGTGCATGTTGCTTCCTTGCTAGAGTCCGTGTGGCGGCACCCTTTCCCTTGTATCCCCCTATATTCCCTCGGTACCCTTAGTTGTTAAGACCTTAGGCCTCCGTGATGGTTCAAGTATTAAAACATATAGGTACTTCACTATAGTTCTTTTCCCGTTTTTTTTCAGTTACGTAACAATGCCATACAGGTCGACTAATGGAATCAAATGAATAGCTTAGCTATCCTCAGGAAAAATGCCCACTATGCAAGCCAATCCATGATGCAGCTGCTACTCACTCTTGTATATTCATAGATTGGGTGATACGGAACCATGGTCATGATCACAGTTGATTTTTCACTCATCATCACTGTCTGCAGTCGGTTTTTTTGTACTATTTGAAGACTTTATTTGCCTCTTTATTTATGGGTATGAAGGTCTGGTACATCTCAACAATTCAGATCCACCAAGCAGAATATTTTGAAAACCAAAAAACACGCGCCATTTGTTACTTAAGAAACCGATACCCTACAAGATATAATTTAATAATCAAGGAGACTAAAATCTCAAGCGATTTTTGTCTCACGAGGGATTTATCTTGGATGAGTTTCCATAGAACATGAGGATTTCTCTGAAATACTCGAGTTATGCTATTTGCAATATTTGCTCTGACGCGAGACAGTGTATTTCTCAGCTCAGCTGTTTCCACAGTACATACGTGAGAGAAACACAGAAAACTATGATTTATTCACTGAATCAAAGCAGTTACCTCACAACGTCAAATAATGACAGTGATGCACATGGTTGCCACATTAATTAAAACTATTAGGTCTAGGACCTTTCACAAAATCTAGTTTGTCTTCGATGCCTTACGGCAACCAGCATCACGGAGCGTATGTTCTGTAAACACTAGAGCTAGTATAAATTCTATTTACTACCTAATACCTCTTTTACGGACTCTAAAGGCAATAATGGAGCTCTATGATCTCGTTCGGTCTCAAAATATTTCGTCCAAGAAATGACGAATTCTTTTGCTTGTCGACCCAGAGGTCTCGGCATTTTAGCAAAATGCTTAAAAGGACACCTCAAGGTTTGGGAAAAAACTGTTTTTATAACATAACAATGCAAACATTGAGGTAAAAAGAACGAAAATACACCTTTGCGACAATGCCACAACACAGAAAACTGATACCAACATAAGTGTACCCGGGAAATTTAAACTATTCCTACCAATTTAGGATCTAGTTTGCATTGAGGTTGGCATTCAAATTCATTCAATATGACGTAACTACTTTGTTTCAGTCGAGGTTTCAGTGAATAAAACTATTCATCATTATCAAATAATTGCGGGTTAAACATGCCAACAGAAAGGTATAGAAGAAAAGCGGCTGCTTGTTATTATTATTATCTTGCTAACAAGTCCCGTACTGTAAACAAAAGACTTCCAACAGGATTGGGTTAATACAGGGTGGGGCATCGAAAACGAAACATCGCATTTACTGGCAGCTCAGATTTTTTTTTAAAGACCCGTCGATTTTGTTTTCGAGGGGCACACAAGTTTGGCAAAAATCACGTGCTGCCCCCTAAGCGGGGGTGACACCACCCCCAAAATCTTAAATGGAAAGGGGGTCGAGTGATACCTTATTTTAAAGGTCTTTCAATTGCCTTTATAATGATATAAAATTAATCTTTTTCAGTTCAGTAGTTTTGCAGATTTATTGATTTAAATCTTAAATAATACTAATACATCATTATTAGTGGAGATGAATACATTTGGCAGCAAAGTAATTTAAAAATGAAGAATGAACTGACCCGTAAGTAAATGTTGAAAATGGCCACCATGACTCATTTGTCGGAGAAGCAAGTGTAGAATAGAAAATGTTAATCGTTTATAATTCGTTTACTCATATCTTCACAAAATTGTAATCCCCGATCAAAATCGTCTTCATTAAGTTGTTGTACCAGGTGAATTTTATACGGGTGAAAACTATGGGCCTTTAGAATCCGTTGGACAGTACGTTGGCTAACACCACACACAGTCTCCAATTTGCGGGTACTGAACGTAGGATCTACATAAACTTGCCCTAAAACCCCCACTTCTATTTCTTCGTTCCTTATGGGATTTTCAGTGTTGCGTTTTTTATTGGCGACTGACCCAGTTTCCCGAAATTTAGCTGCAAGTTCTAGAACATATTTTCGATGCACGTTACTGTTCTCATGTCGCACATTAAATATTTCTGATGTTCTATTAGCGCACTGATTAATTCCGAAAAATATTTCGATAACTTCAACTCTTTCTGCTGTGGAATATTCCATGGTTAATTTATGTAATAAAGCGTTACAAGTTATTTTAGCAATTTTGGTCAAATCAATCGCAAAATATGTACTAAATTCCTATTTAAAATAAGTACGAGATATTTCCTTATCTTTCTTCAAGAAATAACTTTTTACCACAAAAAAACGCTCCAATAGCTATTTTCAACAACAAAATGGTAAACAAACCATGGGCGTCGTGAAGAAAAGCATTTACTTATTAAGTAAATTCTTTTATTCAAATTTCTTCTGAACAAACTAATCTGATGTCCCTATTAATCTACTTTAATCTTTGAATCAATAAATCTTCAAAACTACTGAACTGAAGCTCATGTATTTTACATCATTATAAAGGGAATTGAAAGACCTTTAAAATAAGGTATCACTCGACCCCCCTTTCCATTTAAGATTTTAGGGTTGGTTTCAGCACTGCCCAGGGGGCTGCACGTGTTAACTTGATTTTTTGCCAAACTTGTGTCCCCCTCGAAAACAAAATCGACGGGTCTGAGCGTTTTTCCAAAAAAAAAACTGAGCTGCCAGTAAATGCGTCTGTTTCGTTTTCGATGCGCCACCCTGTTTATTGAATACTTTATTGAAACTACTAGAAGAGACAGATCAGGGATCTTATTCCTTCTTCTCCGACTGCCCGCTGCTGATTTTCGGTATTTGCTGGACAAAGTTTGCAATAGAAAAATAAGACACACATATGCGAAATACAATTCCAGCAACTGGGTGGTTTTCGTCCATAACTGATTTTCTCAGATTTCTATTTTTATACCTTCCTGACGAGCAGTCCTACAAATTGGGATAAGATTCATATAACTCTATACAGTCTACTATCATGGCTCTAGTCCAATTGAAACTAGAATTTTTCCTACCCAAACATCTTTTTTCATTTGGTTCACTAATTTCCCTTTACAAAAGTTTTATGTTTTATCGCAGGATATAACAATGTTACTCAAGGGCACCAAGTGAAACAAATGTCTCATGTGATATACGATACTTACACGTTGAAACTTCTCAACTCTCATGAGATATCGTTTCACAAGATTATCTCATGTATGTTTCTACGATGAAATAGTACTTTTCATGAAGATCTTATTTCACGAGATGAAAGTATCCTGGGATCTGCCCCTTTGGAACTTAAGCGACGATATTCCATTTTCTTTCTCGTTTTCAGGTAACAATCATCGAGGTTCCACTATGACAACAATGGTATCAGTCGAGTGCCCCATAATGAGATGTAGCTCGAGGAACAGCAGTTCCAGATTCAGACCGGAATCGATCATCGCTATGTCAGAGTTCACCACCATCAAACAGATTAACAACTATCACGAATGTCATAAAATAAATTCGGAAAATTTGTAATTGATGGTACAGCACTGTAAGATTAGATGAGGCATTGTCCAAACAATAGGCTAGTTGATACTTTTTTTAAGTAGATCTTAAATAGCTAATACTTTTTCTATTAGATTACGCTTTTTCAGACCTTAAGAACCGTGAAGCTTTCATTCAAAAATATATTCTTCTTAGACAGGAGAAAACTGTCCGCTATGTTTGTAATAAAATAATAAAGTAAAAATCGTTATTGCATCATCTGAGAATTTAAAAATACATCAATTTAGATCCCCGAAAAGCTGTGGATCAGAGTGCCCATGGAAATAAATATACCCAACAGTTTATTTGAGCATACCTTATACGATTCCCTTGCAGCTATGTAAGAAACAATACAACACAATATTAGATACAATCATTCAAAGGTTATAACGCTTAGTTTTGAATCACTTATGAAAAGGAAGATTATGTAAGTGTATCACTTATTCTTTCTTTTTGTGTCTGTCATTATATCAGATGCACTGTACTTGCATCGAAGTCTTGCTCAGTAGAGAAGAAATATGGATTGAGGTTAAAAAATTACCAAGCATCAGCGTCGGGAAATTTGTGCTTTCTTCTTTTAAAAATTGTTTTTTTTTTCAATAAAACAAGAAAACGACAACGTTTTACGTTGATTAGGAATTTCTTTAAAAAGAAGACAATGTTAGTCCACGAGTGACATACGGATGACGTTTCGTTGTTTACAATTTGTATGACGTCACATCATGGTGTGTGTTTTCAACCCATCATATTAAAAATAAAAAATATAGTTTTTTAAATTAGACAGAGTAATACAAAAGTCCAGGAACGGCTATGTATTTTCTCGGGTAAGGCATTTTCGGAAAAGATCAAGGTTGGAGCTTCAGTAACTTTCAGCAAGGAATTCAACGGCGACCTTGAATTTGACCTTGACTTACACCTTCAAGGTTAATTCATCGTCCACTTTATTTTTTCAAATATGAACCCCTATTTTTGATGCCGGAAATCGAAAGAATGGATAATTTTACGTTCAACTATAACTAAGATATGAGGTGAGGATGACTACTAAAGGTCAAATGAAGATCAAATGTGTGCTGCTATGAAACTCACAGGATGAGTGATGAAAATAACTACCAAGGTCAAGTCTTTAGTAGATTTGAACGAGGAGATCAAAGCTCACCTTAGATTTGACCTTGACATTCAATTTCAAGGTCTTCCCAATGGCAACTTGATTTTTTTGAATGAAAATTCCTACTTTTGATGCCGATGATCGAATTAACGGAAAATTTTACGTTCGAATACGAATGGAAGTCCAAGGTCAGAGGGTCATTTAGAGGCCAAATGTGTGCTGCTACGAAAACCTCGATAAATTTCACAGGATTTGTCATGAAAACGACTGTCAAGGTCAGGTCATTGGTTAACTTAATTTTTGTACTGGAAATCTCTGTATTTGACGCCAGCAATCGAGAGAGAGAGAGGAAAATTTTACGTTCAAATACGAATTTAAGAGCCGTATCGTCAGTAGTTCCTACAATTGTAGGACGCCTTTATAGCCTACTTGAGTTTCATGGTTTTCTACTGTTCCGTGTCAGCGCTCTATTTTGAGGTTTAGTTACAAATATCCATTTGCAAGTTGTTCAAGTTTTTGATTTATATCATGTTATACAGCCTGAAATTTCCTTCGATTCAAAACGAAAATATAGCTTCACAATAAGACAGCGCTAACGCTGACACGGTATACTCGTAGTAGAACTCTAGAAATGTACCAGCCTTTCTGAAGGATAGAAAAGACCATCAAAATCAAGTAGGCCATAAAGGCATACTAGAATTGTAGAAACGACTGACGATGCGGCACTAAGACCAAGGTCAAGGTGACCACTAAAATTCAAATGGAGGTCAAATGAGTTCTGATAGGAAAACCACTATGAATCTTATAGGATTAGTGATGAGAAGTAACCAACATTAATACATTTTCACAAATAGCGGTGATCTTGGATTTGACCTTGAGCCTTACCTTCAAGGGCAATTCAAGATCAACTCTACTTTTCAAAATAGAATTGCCGACAATCCAGAGAGCCTGAATTTTTATGTTTAGAAGTGTATTAGAATTAGAGCTCACATAAAGGACAAATGTGTGCTGTTAGGAAAACTTCTAGGAATCTTAAGCGAATGATGACGAAAATAACTGGCAAGGTCAAGTCTTTGGGTAAGTCTTAACGGTGCTCGTTACAAATAACTTTAATGAATACTGTTATACAGCTTGAAAAAACCTTGAAGGTCAAATCCAAGATCACTCGTCAAAATTTACTACAGGCTTGATCCTGATAGTTATTTTCATCACTAATCCTGTGAGATTTATAGAGGTCTTCCTAGCAATACACATTGGACATTTGATAGTCATACTGACCTACGACTTGTGCTTGATCATAAAATGTTCTGTTCTTTCGAGTTTCCATTTCAAAAATAAGCTTGACCGTAAATTAGTCTTGAAGGTGAAGGTCAAGGTCAAATTCAAACTCACCGTTGAATTCCTTGCTGAAAGCTATTGAAGACTTGACCTTGGTCTTTTCCAAAAGCACCTTATGCGAGAAAATATAGACCCGTTCCTTTACTTTTGTGTCACGCTGTATATCATCCTACGCTTTTAAAAATTGAAATCGACATATTTAGTTTTCATATAGTAATTACTGTAAGAAACACTCATTTATTCTATAAAATTATATATGAATCAAGTAGCCTATTGTCTGGATAGTTACAATTTCTACTCTAATTTCATTTATGCTGTAGACTACAGCGAAGGATCAAATCGATTATTCCGTTTCTATCTTAAGACAATTCTCTTATGGGACCACAGATTTGTACAGTAACTTATATTTGTTATTTCTTATTTAGTTTTCTCAACGTAGATCTCGAAAGCGTTTTATATCATTGTTAATGCTCCTAACATTTCTGTACCCATTTGCGTATGGTGCATGATATTTCGCAAAAGTATATAATCAAAATTAAATATATTTCCAGTACGTGTAAATAGCATTTGCAATATATTTATTTAGTATAAATGTTATGAAACAGTATTTCTGCATTTTTTTTTCACTCATTACTTGACGTTACTGACAATATTTCTAAGACAGAAGGTACTTCACAAAATAACACGATATTTTGGGCCAGTCGTGTATTCGCAAAATCGAAAACACATTTGTCCAAAAACGGGACAAAACAGGGTGTAAACGTTATGATAGACATTATTTAAATGGGTGATAAAGGGGGTTAAAAGAAGCAAAAGGTTTCATATAACATGGGGGTCGAGACGGCATTTTTTAGAGAAAAGCGACTTTAAAGTAAAATAAAATCTGACAACGCCGCAATGCCAGACGCAAAGTACGACGGAACGCAGTGTGAATAAAGATGGCGTTTGTTATTTTTGGCTCTTAGGTATTATTTCATTATTTGATAATGTACTCGTAAAATGTAAACAATTAAAAAACGGACTTACCACTAACTGACTCAGCGCTTCACCTGGTGTGTGAAAGTTTAGAGAACGTATTAAAAAAATCCACTTATAAATAGGGAACACAATTTTGATACATACATTGTTTTTCTTTTCAACACCCACACTGCAGTTTTTTGTATTCAAAGAAGGTGTTCAAAATGTCGTCCTCTACTTTCCACAGATAGATAGATAGATAGATAGTTTATTGTCCTATTAGATCATGTTACATGTTATAAGACTTGTCAATATCAATTTGAGAATCATACATATATGCGTTTGAGCAAATATGCCAGAAAAATACTTATAATTATAAAATAAATAAGGACATTACAATTACAAAACATTTCAACAGGTTAAATTACATTATAAAGTATATTCAGATAAGAGATAGACCGGACATAAACAAGACCACGTGATCATCGAACGCTGTAACATTCGGCAGGGACGTATTAAGAGTCACGCAGTACATATTTTAGATAGTAGATGCTGCTTTGCGTAACTTTGTAGTAAATTAGCACAATTCGATGTGTATACGATTGGTGATGGATATAGGATCATGTGGGGGTGGGGTAAGAAATATATATTGATGTAAATATACATAAGGGTTTCAAAATTTTCGCTTCGATTTCCAGCTTCGGATGCCGCCTGATGTTTGGTGAAATACAGTCGAATATAATCTCAAAATGGCGTTTAAATTAGCCTAAATTAAAAATAATCGTATATCTCTTAAAATTGCTTTTAGAATATTGATTAGTATATTTTTTGATTTCTAGGTAAATATGTAACCAAATTAAAACGTTCAAAACGTAAAAAAATGTGAATGGTTGAACATTGTCAGAAAGTAGATTCTTGAATAGGTTTTGCCAAAATGGGTTCAAAAATGTCAATAATTAATTAAAAAATACAGTAGCTTTATAATTACTTATAACTTACTGAATTTGATGAACGACATCTTTTATTGGAAAGATGAGCTTGATGAGCTTTCATCATCGCTACTGCCTGAAGCACCAACGACAATAATGAATGGCTCGACTTGTTCCTCTAAAATATTGTCCAGTTCCCACATTCTCTTTTCAACTTTGTCTTTCACGTGCTTAATACAGTTTTCCCATTTTTGCGCTGTTATTAATTCTAGTGCTTCTTTGAAAAGTCCTTTGAGGTCACAAAATTTAAAATTTGTATTGTGCTTAGCTATATAATTTTTAACCTCTGCCCATATGAGCTCAATGGGATTGAGCTCGCAATGGTATGGAGGTAAACGAGGCACAGTTTTATTTTGACTTGCTGCCATTTCGTCAATGGCGTATTTTTGATATTCCGCCTTGTGATCCTTGACAATTCTTAATAATTGTACTTTCAGCATTGCTTCTTCAAAGTTGATATTTTTCGAGCGGAGCCAATTTTGAACATCAACTTTCCTTGAAGCCGTTGTTGGGACCTTCTCCATTCTTCGAGAATAATAAGGCGCATTATCCAACACAATTACTGCGTTTTCCTCTAAGTTCGGTAAAATTTTTGAAAACCACTGTTCAAACGATTCGCCATTCATTTCCTCGTGGTAATCTCCAGTTTTCTTAGACTCAAAGCACCACAGACCGTCAACAACAAATCCATCCTCACTGCCAATATGGCAGATAATGAGCCTTTTCCCTTTACCTGGAAA